CTTTGTACTTTAACGGTTCTCTTGATTCAGAAATTGCTGCCAACGATTGTATGTTGAAACATGGTTTTTAATTCGAAGATATTTTTAATCGCATTAAAATGTTGATGTTTAATGTAAAATTTAATAGAAAATTTTTTTTCAGGTAGTTTGTATTCTGTATGGATCAATTTCATGTCTTTATTTTAGGCCACTGTGGTGATGGCGGTTAGATAAAAATAGATCTTAAGCAAATTTTTTTATGTAATTATTCACTATTTTCAATATTTATCATTCCTTTTCACTAAGTTGATTCATTTGATGGGAATCTGGGACCCTTATATGAAAACATGAATGAAACTTGGTCAAGAAAAATAGAGGGCGAATTCACGTCCTCAATAAAACCCAATATTGAAAAATTGAAATTCTTCGAATTATTGATCAGTTTCTGTGTTGACCTAGTTCGGGTTTAGATGTAGCTTGACACCGGGCAAACAAATTAAGTTCGCTAAACTAGTGGTTGAATGCACAATGAAATGTTTAACCTAGAGCCGCGTTTCTGAGTCAGTGAACCGATTTGGCTAATTTTTTCCCGTGCAAGTTAAACCATTAAGCTTCCAGACCATCATCCATCATCAAAAAGCTCGCCGTAAAATAGATTTCAGGACTAAAGCAACTTATAAAGTAAAGCAATTTACTGTTAGCTTATTTCACGGCATGAATTTACAATGTGAATTACAGCTGTGTGGGTATTATAGCCTTTTCTAACGGTTTGAGACTTTACAAGGTCGCCAGGCACCGGTTTCATTTTGTTCAAATTACGGTGTCCAGACAAAATTCACTTACGTAAAACGAAATTCTCTCTGTTGCTAAATACATTTGGCCCGGCTTGATTTGCCTAATCTGTTAATTTTTATTTGATGACTTAATTCAAAAGTTTGTTTCATAGTATCCAGAAATGTTGCCATGTGTACTTATATATTTTACCCAATTTTATGCTTATTATAAACAAGCCATTACTGCTGAAACACCTCTTTGAAGCTCAATAGTCGGCAATCTATGGTTTTTATAGCATCATTAACCGCCATAAAACGGTCGACCAAGCAAAACGTTAATTTTTAGCGAATACTGGACAATAAATTATTTGCCGTTTTCGTTATTAGCATTTTCAATTTATGGGCCCTGAATCACATCTGAAATATTGTTTTCGACTGGGGGTTTCAAATTTGTTGTTTTACATTCATTTTTTCCTGTTTGCCTGTCTATACCTATACGACCTCCAGCTTGCATATTGATCAAATTTATTTAAATTCCTAATAATCATATTATTAGCAATCAATCGATTAATTATTTTGAACTAAAATTCAAGTTTCTGTAGCAAAACAATGACACTTCGTTTTGTTACTCTTTTGTTATATCTTGGTGCTAGAAACGTTACATAAAGAGAATTACAAAATTTTCCTTATTGCACAACTATTTCCATGAACTCGAGAGTAGGCATCGTATCACTTTCCATTTTTTTTAACGAAATATTCATATTTGCAGCTAGACCAGATCTACGATCATCCTCTTAACATAACAGGTTTACAATAAAAACGCACACTTCGAATGGTCTACTTTCTCTTTCCGACTTTCACCCTTGACGGGACCAATTACACCATAATTGGGTGCATTACGAATTAAAATAAATGCTAATACAACGTAATGATAATTGGAGATTTTTTTGTACTCGCCAGTAAACGACGTTCAAATTAAAACATGGGTTAGTAGAGCGGCAAATTTAATTTTATCGTTAATTTCCTTGTGCGAAATGAATTTTGCTGTTGTAATTTATTAGAGAGTAGAAAACCAACATTTTGGCTGTTTGTGGATCAAGACGATCTATCAACAAATTATTATTTATGGTGTGCTCATAACTGAAAAAAGCTGTGCGCTTTAAATTGCAAACCTACTCAATTTACAATGCACTGTACGTTCCTGTAATGAACGGTCATAAAGTAATCAAATCATCATTCCGATTGTCGCAAAGACCGGATATGTCGCCACGTAAACCGTGTGGTCCAACGGGATAAATAAATAGTCGAGACACAACGCCATTTCGTACCAAAGTCACGCATTAAATTAACAAAAATAAAAAATATAAATCAAGAGGGTAATAGCTTTTTCTACCCTTATAGAAGGGCGTTATATAGCAGGGGAGAAAGAGAGCATAAACTCGGTTAAGGGTCTTTGCAGATCAGGCGTAGGAATGGGGTCGTTTGGCAAACATCGATACATTTTCAACTTCAGTTTTTTTCGGCGAACATGCAGCAAACCGTGAATTAATATTAGAACATACCTGCTTGCAAATTTGACGGCCCAAAACTTTCACCATGTACTGAAAGTCGTCTCCTACAATCACCGTTGAAGATGTAAAAGCCTTGCAGAATGATGAAACATATTTGAACATTTCATTCTCTGAAATCTGTGAAACTGTTAAATAAAATAAATGGAAGTTTTTAAATAAGTTCTCAACAAAGTTTAGAAGAAAAGCAATTATTTTACAATTTTTCTAATCATAATCAAGAACTACATATCTGGCACTATAAAAGAATTATGCGGCTTTTCCAAACTGTGTCCGGGTTCCGTATGGTCGTTAATAAAAAAAATGCGGGCGTTTGTGAGCGTCGTTCCATATTTGGTGTAGATCAAATATCGATATTTTCCCATTACTACCAGACAAGCTCGACGGCGAGAGGTAAACGATTTTCATTTTACAGATGATTTTATCTGCTGTTATATGTTGGGTATAAAAACACATTGGTATTGTTAGCGTAAGAGCAACCTACCCACCTGCAACTGTTCTTTGACAATAGTGCGCAATGATAAAATTTGTTAAGCATCTAATTGCAAAGCGAAATGATCGAGGGTCACTTAAACGCATATTGTGCATGTTTCAATTGAATATAGAAAATGTATGTTAAATATGGTTCACTCAAAGGTATTATTAACGCCAAATGGAATGAGTGTCATTAAACGGGATACACTCGAACTATCCATCGTCATTCGAACAAAAGCAATTAACACATTTAATTAACTATGCACTCGATAAACCATATTATATTGAACATGCGTCGAGTGAGCACTTGCCACCTCTACAAAGAAAGCTCATGCTCGTCGAGTGATGCATTTTAAATCAGTGTAAATATTTAAATGGGGGGAAATTCAGAAGCCATTTAGCTTCCGTGTTGCACTTAATTAACCATTTTATTGTTTGAAATTATCCAAGCTGCATATGTCCAGTTAAATCAACCGGACGGGGAGTTGACGTTCGATGGGACAAAAGAATAAGCCATCAAAATCTCAGATGCATCGCTCTTCTTTTGAGGGTCTTTTCAAGCATCGATACTGGGGGTGGACATCAAAAGCTTGCCAAATCACAAATCAGATAGATTCAAGGGAAAATTAGCTTGAAAGATATTTTTGCGACTATTCCAGTTTGCTCGTGGTGGACATTTAGCAATCAATATTTCGGGCAGATAACAGACCAACAGTAGCTTGAAATATTCGGCCCTTTTTCACCCCTCTGATCGAATCAATTAAGTAGAGAAGGCGAGAACAGTTTTTTCCCTATTGCAGAACATCAATATGTTGCCATGTCTTGTACATTAAACCCCCATAAAGAATGTATTGACCCTAAAAAAATTAAAATTCGTGACATTGATATAAAACGGCTTGTTTTTGGGGACCGTCGTCGTCTCCACCAAACATTTCCCCATTCGGGTCATTTAGTTTATGTTTCCGCTCTTTGTTACTTTTACATATTGAATTACAATGGCGATAATCGGTAAATTACAACCTGGTACGCCCAACATGGCGTAATCTTCGGTTTAAATCTATTTATAGGCGTTGTTCATTATTTAATCGAGTTGAATGATACTGATGCACTTACGCGAAAAGCTATAGTAAATGCTAAAAATAGTGTGAGATGAATTAAAGATCAGGAGAGTGGCGAGTGAATGTTCAAATTCATTGTTTAAAGCTGCCATGCTGGGAACTGTAATTGGATTTTAATTTCATTTGCAGTTTTTATGGAAATATTTGGGAAAACCTAATTCGGTTAATGCGTACTTAGTTGATTGCCTGTAACTAAACATGAGTTGAAGACAGGGTTGCGAAAGAAAGTAAAAATAAATGAAATACCGACTTCAAAACAGGACAAGAACTGCAATATGGGCATTGGAAATTCGATTCTGGAAAGAAGGGAAGAACACGTTTCAAGCGCATATTTACTAAAGTCAAAGCTGCAGTTATTTTTATGTGTTTATTCATTTATTAACTGCGATAAATTTGCTACATCTGCTTGCCAATCCGATGGCTGAAAATAAACCGGATTGATATACGCAATAAATGAAGTTCGTTTTATATAAAACTCCACAATAATTTTGAATGTTCATTCATAAGTTTACATGTAAGGTATGTATCTGGAAAGCCGTCAACTCAATTATTGATTTTTTAATTTAATGGTATCAGCAAAAGCAAAACAGAATCAATTTTAAAGCAGCTGTTAGCAATTTTCGCATTAATAGTTCGGCAATAATTAGCTGAATTGAAACATATCGCTGAGGCAAAAACAAGTTTCAAATAAACCGGCCAATTCGAGCGTCCGCTTTTGTTTCGAATTTTGCCAGATTATGTAAAACCTTGTCACATTTGCAATATTAACTTGCATCTCTATATTCGAATAGAGGATTTACATTGTGATGTGGATATGTAAAAGTCGAAAAATATACGTAAAATTTTGGTTTATTGTCAATGAATATTAGTGAGTTTTTTAAGATTTTAAGAATCTTTTTCAGCGGAAACAAGATAAAGGAACAGTGGTTAATTCAGAAAATGTCTCTTGCTTTCAATATTTCAGGCTTTTATTACTGAAACAGGGATCTGAGCGTCATCAAGGAAATTATTTAGTTGTTTTGCACGGGATTTTTTCCCTGAACCAATTAGTCGAGAAACTTTTAATTAATATTGTTTATTTGTTTCAGCATTGGACATTAATCTTATGATTAGATCTCAAGTTAATAAGACGAATACCCAGGTAAGTAATATTAATATTACTGCGCCTTATTAAGCAATTTCCTGTCTTTTTGATAATACGGTAAAGTGAAAAAAAATTACCCGCACGTGTATGATGGTTGAAACCCACGAGCGGTTAAACTCAATGTTATAACGTTTGCATGTAGCTGATTAAATTGCATTATTATGCATTCGCATTTGGAGGAAATGTTTGTCGATTAATTATGCAGCAAATAATAATGATATTATTATACAAACCAATAAATTTAAAATGTACGAATGGCGTTATTTGATAATTGTTGCCTAAGAATGAACGTTCAATTACGGCGAACTATTTTGATCGTCAATTTTTCGTCGATTCAAAATAGGTGGATTTTTCACCGCTGGTTAAAAGAGTAAATCAATCAATCACTGCCAAAGCATAATAGATATCGTCGGTTTGCGCTATATTTCCCCGGCATTGGGATAAAAACCCAGGTTCATGATTATAAAGGTTATGTAAACAGTAACAGGGTTTACAAAAAAAATCTTATCGTTTTTAAATTCGCTCTGTGATTTTCCGGGTATGCCGAGGCAGTTAAAGGCGCATCAAGTTGACTTTTTCCAGATAGCAACTTGCCACTGCTCAGTCGAATCAAGTTGGGATGAGATACAACTAAAAACTCGTTAGTATGCCAAGTTCATGGAACGATATAAATTCGGGGATTCTAGTGTCGCAATTCTCAATATGAAGCTAAATCGGTTACAAGGTTAGGCCAAGATCAATCTGCGCGGAACTACACGTAAAACGTCAGCGAATTGCCGAGGAAAACGCTTATGGAATCGAGAAGGAACAAGATAGTACGTCATTAAAACTTGTTATTGTTCGTGTTAAAACTTTATTCAATTCTCTATGGGGAAATTCTCGAACAAAAGCTACAAACACCCAAAAATATGATCAATGATCCACTGATCAAGTGGACAACAAAAATAGATTGTTTATTCCGAAATTAATCAGAAAATGTCCGCTTTTTAGCTTAGAGTTAAATTGAAAAAGCTCGTTTTAATTACTACAACCTTTGAGTTCCGATTTCGCATTGTGTGAAATATAATGAAACAGAACGGCGCTGCAAAATCTTCCAATGCATGTTTATGCACTTGGTCTTGTTCAGTTTAAAGGGAGAAAAATATACCTTCTAAAGGCCCTCCACGGGAGCTCAAGAATCTGTCGTATTATGTTGCTGAACAGACCAGCTTGTGCTTGATGAATTGAATCGACATGAATTACTACAAACGTGCAAGCAGGCCAGAGTTGACACGGTGGACGTGAAAATTTATTAATCAAATTTCACGGCAACAGGCAAAATTGCATGCAAAAATTACCCTTTAAGGGATTAAAAAAAAAGCCCTTAGTGATGTCTATTCTGCCATAATAGACCATAAATGCCATTTCTGGGTCGGTGCGGCTTTACGAATCGGTTCACTATAGACCCTAGACCCACAGAGTTGATGAACTACCCGAAAACACCACTCAAATGGACTTGAACAAAGCAATTAAATGGGACAGCCTATTCAGAAATGAAGCAAAGAATAAACATAATTAATTAGCGTGAACAAAGTTTAGAAGAAAGACGAAACTTTCTAATGGAATTATTGAAAACCGTCAAAGTATGGCATTTTGGTACCTAGAAATTTATTTACACCCCACATTCAGCCGTCGGGATTTATGGAGAACGACTCGATATGGTTTACCTTGCAAAATATTTTCTGTTCAAGGCAAAAAGATAATTAAATGTAAAAGTTGTTTCACTGATGCAATGGGTGTAAAAGCACTGAACGTTTTGGCCCTAGATAATGTAACATTAAATCGACTGGGGCTTTAAAAAAATTGACTGAAGATTGCCTTTTAGACTAATTAGATCTACGTGCAATTGATGCCTGATCAACAGTGTTATATTACTAATTTCCGCTCTTTATCGTTCAATATTAAGTGCTATTAAAAAACATTGATAAGGAATCGTCAAACCAAAGCGGTGTTTTGCTGTGTGTGACTGAACCCCAATCAACACATAATATTTGCGTCTTGTATAACTGGAAATTTTATAAAATTACCGTGCTTTTCCGTCTTTCTTATTGTAGCAAATATTTCTTGTTGTTTGATATACATGAAGATCTCCTGGTTCAGTTCCTATAGTCGTGCCGAACTTCGTGGTCACGGCAGTAAAACCTCAAATAAAACAGCAGTATTAATTACTTAATTCGGAATTTGTCGTATCGACTGCGCAATTTAAATTAAATTCAAGTGAATCCTTAAAATAAACCTGCCCCTTAATATTATTTAGCCCATTTTTATTCCTAATAGTTAATGCGGAATGAAAGCAAAATTGTTTAAGTATGACGTGAATAATTGACGAAAGAAAAATCCTATGACAAAATCCTCATTGAATTCAAGTTGAAAACAAGTTGGGATAGATGTAATGTGAGGAGCAGCCAAACCCATACCAGAATGACGTCGCGACATTCGTCACAAACATCTATTTTAAGACTTGCGGGTTTTTACTAGCAACAAACGAGTGCAGTCTGTTAATATATGGAAAATGTGCAGTTTCTGATTGGAGATTACAAAACGTGGGCTCTTCCGAATGGTCCTAACCAAAGGCCCGACGAAACTACCTGAATGAATAGGCCTATTGACCTTTCACGCCCTAAAGACATTTTTTAGAGAATTGGCTCTAGATATAACCGATAAACGATATTAGGTTCTCAGCAACGTGCAGAAGCACATCCCCAGACAGACACATCTCCAGATAGGGCTTTACCACACTATGGTTTAACCAAAATATATTTACAACATTAAACGGTAAATACGAAATCATTGTAAAAGGTCAAGCACACATTAAAACTATTTGAACAATTAGTGGAAGCTAATTAATGGCCCACTTAAGGCGCATTATAAAACTTCGGTGTACAAAGGCAATGGCCAACTTCGTCTGATAAAAATCCGGTAAAATCCTCAAACTCGCTCAACTAAAAACAATATTTATATTTTAAGGTAAATGACTCTGTAATTGTTTTGAGGCCGAAATCCTCTGTCAAGCCGTGCTTTTATTGCACATAAATATTGAAATGGACCGACTGCCGGGCTTATCGCAGGAAGCACAGAAGATAACAGGTCCCGTTATCTTTTGCAGGTATTTTCCTTCAAGTACGTAATGGTAATTGAGATCATTGTTTCGATTTTAATTTGCAACCCGTTTATAATAATAACAATATTTTCTTGCTCCTCTAATCTAAGGTTAAGGTTACTAAAATAATACGCGATAAACATTTACATTTTAACCAGTCGTTTGTGTTTTGTAAAGACAGTGTTGTGGCGTGTAGGTTCTTGTTTGCAGCAGAAAATTCGGGATTCCTCTAAACACAACAGGTGGTTTGCTTTGTCATTTGATAATTTTTATAGGTAATTATTATTGAACGTTGCTGATTGTTCTACAAAGGCGTTAGAACTGATAAAAAATTTCGCAATTGCGATTTTTATCAAGAGACACTTTACTAACATGTTTTTTCGAAATGACCGTTTGTTTTCGTTTGTTCCGCCGTGGTAAGATAAAAATAATGCGTCATGTAAAGCAAAACTACGTTTGAATTGAATAAAAAATTTTTTTAGAACAAAAGCAAATTTTTAATTCAACCAACGCACCGCTTTTATCAATTGCACAATCGTTTTTATTTAATTAATACCCTCAGCATACCAAACCACTGCATTATCTTGCTATTAAATTGTTAGTATTGCTATTAAATACCGTTAGAACAGAAACTTGAAATTGCCCTTTATGGGCTTTTAATGGCCTATAAGATTCATATCCGGCTTTGATAAGCTTTAACCGATAATCAACATTTCTGGACAAACCGATAGCCGAAAGTTTTCGTTAATTTTGTGTGGGAGAAAGCACCTTTTTTGGTCGCGAAAACTGCTGCTGTAGCGTGAAATAAAATAATTGAACATTTGTAGATCATTCTAATGACTTTCAGTTAAAAACATATTTTTAATATTTGCCTTTTACTTGGTTTTTTAATGCAGTAGATTAGCTTTGAGTGGTTTTTGGAGGTTTCATTATTTTTGGGGGTTAACACAAACCGTTGCTGCTCGACCAAACCACCTGTGAAGATGTAGGCCACTCGCACTTTCGAAACGTCAAGAACTCGAAAAATATTAGAGTCTCCTGAGGATAGGAATGGGAGAAAAACATCGATGTTTCGCAAACATCGATGTAATTCGTTCGATGTTTTTAACATCGATGTTGGAAATTTGGGATATCGATAAAACATCGATGTTAGATCCTGAAATGAAAATATCGAACATTTGATGTTGATACTAGATCGAAACATTTTCTGCGAACTCTTTTATAGTGCCGATGCAAACGATACCGCGGCATAGCGGCCCATTTCCAGCTGCACCCGAAAAAAGCCCCTTTTTGCAGTCAGTTGACCGAAAAATGTTTCAACTATAACTTCAATAAATTCATAGTAATAGTTAAATAAAGTTATTAAAGTTTAAGTTAATCAATTTGAAAATTATATGCAACGGCAATCTATCAGAACATCGATGTTATCAAACATCGATGTTCTGCCTTCGATGTTTTCCTAACATCGATATTGTGTTGCGATGTCAACATCGATATTTCCTTTCGATGTCAACATCGATGGGTACCATCGATGTCCCATCCCTACTCACTGCTAGACCACCCTCGTTTTCTTTTGATTTTTACTACCTATTTACTTTAAATCACGTGGTTGGTTCAAATATATTTTTTTCACATGTCGCCAAAAACATTTTCGACATTCGAACGAACGTTGGCATTGAGAATTAAAAAATGAATCGTTCCTATTTCTGCTGCAAATTTCGTAATGTTCAAATCTGGCTCTCGGGGACTTTAGTGTACTTTTAAAATTACAAATCGACCGTATTTATCATCCACCGTCTTTACAAGCTGAGATCTAAATTTAGTGTTCTGATTAGTGTGAAGCCACGTGCTTTGTCTA